TTTGAGTGCAACGTAAATGTGAGATACAGCAGCAGAGATGTCAAAATCCCTGTGAGCTGATTAAGCAAATAACACGTTTAACAGCACGTTGCACATACAAAATCCATGACTCATCCTAAAAGCATCTTACAACGCCAACTTGGAACATGAAATTCATATGGGGGGAACATAGCTGGAGCCTTTTCAGTTCTTTAAATAATAAAATTTAAACTGGTTCCATCTCAGTTAAATGTGTACAACTGCTCGTTGGATCCATTCCAGCATTCCTCACAGTCACCAATGCATAACACTCACTAACTAATAACATCTGGATAGAGGATAAGAGAAGAATGTCTTGCAAGAGTCTGGGGATGTGTACAGGAGAAGTGAGGCTGCAGAGAGATCAGCTAACTCAGAAAAGATGGTGCATGTGATTCTCATTAATGGTTTTGGGAAACAAGCAGTTTCTATAGTTCAAGATACTTCTACAAACGAAGTAGAGAAAAGATGCTTTCAATTTTGTGGCTGTAGGGCTGCTATCACTCTTGGGCAAGTCTGAGGAAACCAAGTAGTGTGTCTCCTTGCAGAACACTGTTCCACATACAGGGGCCTCGGTCTGTGCTTCTCATATGGGCAGATTTTCAGGGGGCTTGACAGCAATTATGCTAAAGCAAAGAAATATAGATTAGATTGCCAAAGAATGGAAAAGACTTTCTGTATAGATCATTAAATGATAAACCTGAGATGCTCTGGTATTTGTTTAGCTGCCTAAGCACACTGTTTTGTCATTACCAGCATTCAAAACCACTATTAAGTCATTAATTATCTTTAAAGTCATGTTCCTATGAGACAACATGAGCTGGAAGCCCCCCTAAACAGTTTAGCAGACTAGCTGTTTCCATGCCTGTTCTTGCCAAAGGACTTTGATTCTGTGGTAGGTGATTAGTGAGAATAGACAAACTCTCCCACAGAACAGATGGGGAAGCACGTGGCTGGGCAATTCACACAAGTCCTGAATGTAAAGCATGGTACTTATTTGAAGGGGGCTTTGAACGTCTTGCGAGTCCTAGGTCCATGTCTCTTGCTAGCTAATGAGTTACATTTACTCTAGTAGGAGCAAATTTGAGACCAGTTAGCCATATGGACTAATTCAGTTGTCTCTGAGCAGCTGGGAGCTGCACCCAGTTCTGTTTGTGCCTCATTGTGTGATGCATCCCCCCTGTGAGAGATCAGCTCCTGAGAGATGGTGCCTTTACCCTGCCATGCAGGAGCAGGGTGGAGAAACAGATCAAGCCACAGCCTCTCCTCACAAGCAGCACAGCAAGTTGTCCTCGCTGAATTTATTTGAGTCCTGGAGTGGTGAAGAGACAGCAAAGCAACACTGAGCACATGAGTCTATGTCCTTTCCTAGCAGCTTTAGGGACAGTACAGCCCACATTACCACTTGCTGTAGGCTAGGTAATAAAACAGTAATTCCATATTTATCATGCAACGTGTTCACAAAAAAATAGTTAGCAGTACTAAAGCCCTACAGGACCAGCACAGTGGTGCTCCGGGTGAATGCAAGTGATAGACCTAAACCCTGCTTCACTGCAAATACCCTTGCAATAAAAAGTTCCTCTATGCATACAATGCCCTTTAACAATATTTGCTTTAAAAGCAGCATCAAGCAACTTAAAATATTAACAAGTTCAAAATGAAAGCTTCATTACTCATTATCCAGGGGACTACTGTGAAACTGTAGGGTGAAAACAACCTTGAAACCATGCAGACCTTAAGATTGTTTATAGATACAGTTTTCCTTTGTTCTTTCAGTAGGCCGTTGAACTCCGTAACTTTCAGCTTCCTCAGCAGTGCAATACAGTAATGATTTGAAACAGCTAACTGTACTGAATTTTATAAGGGAGTTTCCCTTATAAAATATTTTCAGTTCCACAGTAATTAGTGCAATAATAATTGGCAGGTATTTGGGCTGTTTCTTTCTAAAGAACTCCAGAAACTACTTAATGTAGTGACATGCAGCAGTCTCTGAATATGGACTAGTCGATAACTCAAAAGTACTCTGGAGCGTAACCAAAACCAGACGGCTTCCTGTTTTCGATTCATTTCTGGGTCAGATTGGGATGGGAAAGTTTGCTGTGTCAATCTGAATCAAATTCACCCCTGAAATACAAGCAGTTGGATTGGACCGTTTCCTTATCTTGTATCTGCCGCCTCCTTTCTGAAATGTCATACTGATGGAGCCAAGACTAAGCTAGTGAACTGCCCTGAGTAATTTGCTGGATCAAGGAGCATCTGCAGTTGGGCTTTCTGTGAATGTGTCCTCTTTCGCTTAAACTGTCCAGTGCTCTCTTTCCTGGATCACCTGGAGCTGTCTGAATTTGTAAGCTGTGATCCAGACATCAGTCATAACTGATTTCAATGTTTTCTGCTGACTGCTTTCAGCCAGGGTTGTCACACCAGTCTCAACCATCCCCTTCAAACTAGAAGGCTTTCTAATTCACGAACAGGTCAAACCACTTGGTATTGCTGACTATGCTGTTCTAAGCAAAAGTTCTCGTGTTTCCTAAAGTTATTTCCTCTACTTCCACTCCTTTTAATAACATATCCAGTATTTGTAAAACTTGGGAATTAGCTTTGTAGAGCAATCCAATGGACTGAACTCAGATTTAGATACAGTAACTGGACATTGGCAGCATATCTAGGGTATTCAGTAGTGCCTGGTAAGTGTGTGGAGAAGAGTATGAAACTATGTCTTGGTTTTCTTTAATTGAATCAGGATTTTTGTGACCAAATCTTAATTTTTCTTATGCTGATTTTTCAAGGTATAAATAGGATATAGTTGGATGATGCTCCAGGTGAAAATATTATTCAGTGTGATAGGTATGATCACAGCCTGCATCTTGTCAAGATCTTGGTAGATGAGAATTTAAGGCTAAATAGAATCTTCAGGATGCATTAGTACAGAAAAGAGTGAATTTGCTGATGCTTGTAACCACTTTACTCAGGGATTTTTGGGAAAAACACAAAACGGCCTGCTTGAAAATTTATCAAACAGTTGATGAAGGTTGGTATTCTGGTTTTGCTAGCCGTAGAAATCACCCTCCCTCCAGAGTAGAAAGGTATGAAGAACTTTGACAGTAAGGACAAGTAGCTTATATTTGCTACATCATGCTTTTTATTTTTTCCCCTTGTATTAAAGATGTCAGTACACCATTTTTTGGGTGAAAAAACAATACCTTTGAGAGAACAATTACTACTTTGTGGAAAGCTTTCTTTGGGATGGGAAAAAGGCATCTGTTGAAAGTAGTGCCCAAAATCAAAACAAAGCCCCTACTGTATATTCTGAGAGAGTGATGGAAGAACCAAATAGAGTCGACAGTTGCATTTCAGCTCAGTCCTGGGAACCATAAGAATCTTCTACCAGTCAATTACAGCTGCTGGTGGCTGCCACACTTTGCTGTTCACTTGAAGAAACTTTCTAATACGGAGTCATTGTGAGGAAGTAATAGGCATGAAATAGACTTTGCCAAGTGCCCATGTCATTCAGCATGGGATAAAACCTGGAAGATTTAGGAAAGAGTTGGAAGAAACTGCTTTAATTGGTTCTCTTCCCAGTTGCATGATAAGGCAGTTAAAAAGGCACAGGGCAGAAATGTCAGATTCTGTTATTGTCTATGAAACTGAGTTGTCTTTTTAGACATACATAATTGCATTAAATATATATATTTGCATATAATTTGGAGTGTTTCTATGCTTCCCTTCCCTTTTCTTTAAAACTACATTACAAGAAGAATTTAATGACAAGGGCATTTGAAAATTTGTTAATGTGTTTCTTTTAAAAAAAGTGTTCAGTCCTCTCCTGTGTGGATCTTTTAATACTGTCCTCCCATTCCAGCATGTCTGCATCTTTTTTATTGCATCCCTCAGCTTTTCCCAGAGAAGAAAGTTGACCAAGACCCTCAACACCTCGAAACATTAAACTTGGTGAAACCACTTAAACAGAATGTTACCAGACGCATTTAAAAATACCAGCTTGTATTTTTTGAATAGTTCTTGTCCAATTAGAAAGTTTTCCCAGAATAAAACTGAAAAGGATTTAATCTCAGAATTGCAACAATTTTGCTCTTTGTTGCCTGACCCAGATTCTTTCATCATTGCATCTGGTATTCACATTTGTCTTTACCATGACATGCATGGTTGCCTGTATCAATTCAGCAACTAAGAAGGAGAGCACTGTTTGCCTTGTACTTATAAAACATGCACTGTGACCCCATTATCGATTTAAAACAAAGATACAAACTGCAACAGAGATATTATTTTCTACTCAAGCCAAATGTATGATTCCTCTTCTCATAGACCATTCTAGGCCTTTTCTTTGGACAGCAGTCTCAGGATAGTGGTTACGTTGTCAAGGATGATTTTCTAGTGCATTAGACAACTCGCTGGCAGCTGTGGTTTACAGAGCCTGCAAGGCCCAAGAAACCTGACACAACAGAGCATATTCTGAAATAATTTCCTCGGATCCACTGTCATTACATACATGGTCACAGTGACTTGCTGAACACCTGTATGACTGCTCTTTTGAGACTTGTTCATGTGATGAAATCTTAGAGGGAACAATCCTTTATATTCCGACATTAGCAAACAATTACCAGAACCAAAATTTCCTTTCTTTGGGAACCCACACAAGTAACAACAGGAGTGAAAACTGCCCAGCTGCCGGCTAACATTTACCTGCGCTACCCTAAAGACAGTGGCCAGGGAGGAAGCCAAACCAAAGCAGTCATTACAGCAGGGAGCTGTAGGTGCCCGTTCGAGACACAGCGGAGCACCAGACAACACAGTCCATCCGCTGTGGCAGCTGGTCCTTCACCCCACCAGCCACCATTCAGTTCTGCAGGCTAGGCCGCAGTCACCACTGATGTGGCAGGATCTTTGCTCATTGCTTTTATTAGGAAGTTAGGATTTCAACTTTTAGCATACATTTTCTGATGTTACTTTCTTTTTGACTCCTTCAGCTACCAACAGGAGGCCCACAGAAATTTCCTGCCCTCCGAAGACCATTTCTGAAGCAGAGTTATCAAAAAAGAAAAGCGTTAAGAAGACTAAAGGTGGAATTAAGGTAGGAGTATCTGTGTTTTGTGGACATCCCATATTGTGAGGGAACTCCAAACAACATAAACATATGTTTACATATTTATACTTGGAATTAAAAAATTGAACATTTACAAGTTAATTCTCTGCCTTTTCTTCTTCCACTTCACATTGCAATTTGAAAGTTACTCAGATGACAGTGTTAAAAAAGATTTATGCTCATGTACATGGAAAAACAAGTTACACTAAACTAGAAATCACTTTCAAAAGATGAAATGGGAAACGTGGAGGGAATTTCCAACAATAATACATTAAAGTGCCTCCATAGTGCCCATCCTTCCTTATGGCATATGAGCTATTTTGTTTCTGAAACTGGAATCTTATTCTGGCTCCTCTGAAGTTAAGATGTGTTATGTTCAGGGTTTTACAAAGTTATATATTCTTCTTCATTTAAATATTTTCTAAGGGTAGTTTCTACACAAAGGAGGAAAGACTAGACATTTAATACTTAAAAATACACCAATCAGCCAACAACAAAAAAAAACAAACAGAGAAAAATTCCACTGTTACCTGTTGCTGTGTGGACAAGTAAGGTTCAGGGAAATGTGTTTTGCTTTTGTGTCTCTGTGATGAGATTTGTGGCATTATTGTTTCTCAGCAAGATTCTGTTTAGGGCTCTTTGGACATCCTTACCCTTTCCTCCCTATTCCCAAACCCTGCAGCATTTAAGAGCCCTGCCTTTACAGCAGAGTCTTTTGTCTGAGCTGTAGAGACCAACTGGGATAACAAGCTATCAAGACAGCCATTTGCCCCTCCTTGCGTACTTTAAGACTGGAAAGAGAAGGATCTAGAAACTTCATTCATCTGCAGTTCTTTTAACTAAGATGAAGTGCAACTGCATCCTGAAACTTTTCATTTGCTCAGGCTAGCTGAAATAGCCACTTTCAGAGACCAGACTTTTTTTTCTTTCTTCCCTGTCAAATTCAAGTAATACCTCATTTGTCTTATTTAAAATGTTTGGGTTTCAACCATGTAAACACACCTGTCAAGAGACGGGAGTACCACCACTGGAGCTGTATTCTGAATGGTCTGTGCACAAATGTTTTGTAACTTTGCTAACATCCCTTTTAGTTACAAGTTTACAAGAAGTAAGACAAAAATCAATACACTGTGCCATTCACTCACAACTTTTTAAATACTAACATCTCCTTGCCATAATTTTCTTGCATCTTCCCTGCATTAAGATTCAGATTATTAGCTCTTTAGGGCCACATATCTTTAGAATGGTAAAAAATGCAATTTAAGGTATGTTTTGAGAAAGAAAAAAAATAAGAGAGGGCCCCAGCTGTTTTGAGGGAAATAACACAACTAATATTCAGCAAAGAACAGCAAAAGAAGTTGGGCAGTATGGGAAAGAGGTATTCTCATCAGTAACGGAGGTAATCAGTTGCATTCCTCCCACACAGGTATATGCAGCAACATGGTACAGACTTTATAAAAACACGTATTCATTGGTTTTTAAATCTACTTTCCAAGACTACAGTGGAAATTATGCCCCCTCTCCAGGAGGGAACTCCTGTTGTTGCTATGAAATTTGTTCTGGTAATAGTTCCGGTGAGGATAGTTTATTAATGGATTCCATCATCATCACCAGCCAGCCAGATAATTTAGCTATACAGAAAGAAAGACAGGCCACTGCTTTTTTCTCCAGCACCAGCCATTAAAAATGAAAGTGCTCAGGAATTAAAGACTCTACTGGAGTTTAGATATTGGCTTGGATTAACTGCAAACTCAGCAGCTGAGTTGTTTTACTGAATTTGAAGAGATTGCCTTTGAGCAAGCCCAAAGCTGCAGGCAAAAGGAGGAAAAGGCCTGCTTAAAACTTGCCTGGACCACACTTGAAATGATCCAACTCTACCAGACTGGACAAGGAAGTAGGTTAACGTTTATCAAAATATTACATAAAAAAGCCCCAGTCCATTTCAGCCTGGGGACAGCCCTTGCACACGTATACTGTGCTCAGTATCTGAGGGCATGCGCTGCCTTCCATACCACAGCTACTAGTACAAAGACAGTTCTCGGAGGCAAAAGACTGACTCCCTAGACTTCTCCATATGGCACTGTGCAAAGAACTCTGAAAATGTGAGGTCTTTGGGTTGGCTTCAGGCAGGAAACAGAAAAAAAAAAAAAAAAGAGAAAAAAATTCAGAGTCTAAGGAACAGACTGTTATGACTGTAATTATCTACATAAGGAGGTTTCACCTTTATGATGGAATAACATAAAGACTGCCTGGAGTCACGAATGCCTCCCATACCAATAAAGAGCAAGGAAGTAGCAAAATAGAGAGAGGAGGTGTTCTTGATCTACAACCTGCACATCTAGAATTCAATTATTTTAATTTGTCCAGTGATTTCTAGACTAGGTAAGATCTGGTTTTTATTCTTTTAAAGCGTAAAGTTCTCTAAATAAAAGCATCAGCAATTAAGTATTTTCACCTTTAATGTGTCCTTTTTATCCAGATTGAAGTGATGCATGAAGCTAGTCAAGGAGGATCTAGCAGAGTCCTGGTGATGAGTGAAAGTGATGAGAACTTGTCAACAAGGAAGAGGTAAGGCTGCACACATGAGCCAGTATCATATTTTTGTTCTTAGAATGCAAATAACTGCATTTATAGTACAGACTCTTTGACTTCTTTGAAGCTTACTAAGATTAATAAATAATCAACTCACCAAAATGCTTATAGCTATGCATTTATACACAGTCTATCAGCAGTAAAAGCAAGATTTATCTTTTGTTTTGGATGGCAGACTTGGGGTATTTTTTGCAATTATTGTCTTAGAAGCATTAATTACATGTCATGCTAAACTAAGTGATTAGAATAAGCCTTGCACATATTTACATAAAAGCAGTATTAAAGATCACCTTGTTGTGTTCAGGATATTCATATTTGACTATGTGACTCTGAGAAGATTCTGGTTTTTTTTTTTTATAATGCAAGCAATAATCTTTTCTTCCTTTCTGCAAAGTCTTGGGAAGGAAATTATTAATGATGTATTCTGAAACTCTAAATACTTAAGTCAGTTAGATTAACAAAACATACCAAGCAAACCCAGTTTAATTTAGTTGAACTGCACTGTTTCTAGGCCAAAGGAAGCAATTAAAACAAAAAACCCCCAGCAAAACCCACCTGGCAACAAACCAAACCCCACAATCCTCACTGACTTCATTCCTTTGTTCTCTTCTTCAGTATGATTTCAGTAACTTATACTTACGTTATGCCTCTCACACAGGTATACACTGAAGTTACTTGAGGCAAAAGACTACATTTTTGAAAACACTAGACTGATACATTAGGCTAGCAAACTGGAGACACGTACAAAAATGCAACTTCTTACTATCTGAATTTAATTACACCCTCTGAAAATACTACGACTGGTCTCCAAACCATCAGCTAATTTTCAAAAGGTGCAAAATGTGATCTGAAAAAGAACTTATTTAGATAGGTACACATCTCTCAAGGAATCATTGCCTTAAAGAGAACATACAAATTAGGAAGTTAATATTAACAACAGATTAAGCTTCTAATATTTGGCAGTTTTAAACAACTTCAGACCTAGAAGCTTGGTAAACCAGTTTTTGATCTGTATTCTTTCTTGGGAATGCCAATTTTGCCTTTTGTTCCACAAAAGGTTTGGTTCAAGGTAGAACAGAGAGGAAGGGGGGGAAGCAGTTTGAAGTCCTCTCATAAGAGGAGACTCAAAACAGCATTTGAAAAGGATCAGAGCTGAGCCTGTCAGTTACAAAGAAAGCAACAAGAGATATTTACCACCTTTGTTGTGTTGTTTTGTTTTGTTTTTTTTTTAAAAGAAATAAGTCTGTTTATTCAAAACAAGTTTTACAAAACAATTGTCTTTTTGTGGTACAGAGCAAAGTTTAAGAATAAATACTGAATACTTTGTATAAAAACTAGTAATAAGAAAGGGAAACTGATGCAAACCAACCAAACAGGTAAAAACAATTTTAGCATTAAATATGCTGTGCAACAATGTCAAACTCTTAATGAGGAGTGACCATTCAGGCTGATACAGTTTTATTTGTAGAAGTAAAACCTGACAGCCCTGCATTGGAGCACCAAGACTACTGTTAAAAAAAGGTTCCAGATGAAGGTGTACAAATCTTAAGTCAGTGTTTAGAACCAGAAAATCAGAAGTTTTCTAGCTTCTCCATTTTTTGAAAGGAGTGCCTTCATGCTTTCCTTTTGATTCAACAAGCAACTTCTTTTCACTGCAGCAGAAGAAAATGCATACTACAAACATCTAGGCCTTTTTAAGATCAAGAAACAATCCAAACAAAACTCAAACCAGCTGTAAAACAAAGTATTTAAATGGTCAAAAGTGACTTTCAGATAATGGCAAACTACATTTTAAACGGTGTTTTAGATGTTAGCTAGGTCATTGCCGTACAGAAGTTTAAGCTACTTAAATCTTACTTTACCCTTTGCTTGTATGAGTGAAAACAATAAATCCCAACACATAGTTATGCCGGAAAAATTGTAGTCTTAATACATTTTGGTTGATTTTTCTGTGCAGCTTGTTGATTTAAATGGCTCACAACAGGTCAGAGATCTGATGAAGTAGCTTTCCTTCAGAATGGAATACTACTTTCTCTACAAGTGCATTTATTTCTCTATAAGCCAACAGATTATATAGATCTAGGGTTGTCTTGTGTTTTGTTTTTTTCTTTTAAAACACACACATCCTCAGTACTGTAATCAATCTGTTTAGGCAAGAACATGAACTGGATTTGTTCTTTCTAAAGTATAGCATTACATTATTCAATCATTCTGACACTGATAAATGATTTATTTGTGGGCTCTTTATATACCCAACATTTGGGTCCCATTAGGATTCTTCTTCCTTCTGGAAAACCAATTACAGAAAGTTACATATTTCACTTACTTCCAGTAGCTACCTACCATCCATCTGAAATGGTGGCTTAGAGAACAGACAGCAAGTTCACTCCTGGATTCTGTCTATGCTAACATATAACATTAGCCATTCAAACCATTAAAGTACAGCTCCAAGAGCAGTAGCAATTGTTTAAACAGAAGTTTACTACTTGTACCTTAAAACTGCCAAGTCCTGTATAGCTGTTCTGCAGCAAGGTCAGAAAACACAGATGAGGTACCTCCCTACTCCACACAGCAAGAAACTTCAGGCAGAAGAAAAAGGCCAGTCTTAGACAGAAAGCAAGCAGCATTGCTCCTGTAATTAGCACATTTCCAAGAGATGCCTGATGATTTGTAAGCTTTCGCATTGTTACTGCTCTGCTGATAAACTTGACTCATTCAAGCTTTCAGAAGTAATTTTCTGACACTATCCACACTAGAACTTGTTCCAGCATCAAATCAGTTCACAAGCATTATCTGACTGTACCTTGTGTGGGCTGAGTGTCCACCCAGGAAGAGCTACCACAGGTTTGGCAACTAGCAACTAAAATATCTGTCCTGAAAGTCTGTGAAAACACTGTTAGTGAGCTATACCAGAAAAGACCACAGACATCCTAGGACTTTGGTTCTCTGCAATATTTGTATGGCACCACAGTACAAGTCATAATGGCTGGAGTTTGAGCATCACTTGGTTCTATCCTGATTTACAAAGCACAGGTGTTTTGCTCCTCCTGCAGGTGATATTAACATGGAAATATATTCAAGATATAGGGTTTTGCGAATGCAAACTCCCCTGAATTTTAATGACAATCTTGTGCTTAAGACTTAAGGAGAAATATTTTAGCAATTTTGATTTGGGTACTGAGTTTCTGTGGAGCCTCCCTATCCATTCACTGTGAAGTATAACTTTGCAGAAAATATCCTTCCTCTTCGTTAGTACAAGCATGAAATTTTGCTTTTTGAAGTCTTTAACAGATTCAAATTAGCTATGAAGTAACATCCTCAGGGACTTTTGCTTGCTTTTCACCTTCAGAACCATGAATATTGGAAAGCAGAAGCATTGTTAAAAAAACTCATTCAGCTTGTTTGCTTATTAAAGATTAGACTGTTTAAATGTACTGCTTCTGTTTTCAGAAGGCAGAGAAAGATCAGAAAAACCAGTTATAGGAATAGTATTTGATTTTTACCCTTTCAAGCTCAGTGCTCATCCAAAGGGAGCTCCTTTGTTACTTAAAACAACCAAGTCAGAGGGCACTCAAAAGCTGTTTCCCTATTTCAAAGATTTAGGGAGCTTTGAGGAAAAGATTGTAGCAGGTCTTCACTTCTAGCACTTACTGTTTGTCAATTGCGCAGGTCCAGACATACTTTTTGTGAAGCACTGAGAACTGGTGAATATTTGTAACCAATTTACATTGCCTTAAACTTCTGCAATAGTCTCATTCGTCAAGTCAGAAGTTCTATTTTCCTTATGTTTTGAAAGGTCTACTGTATTTTGATATAGCAGATTTTCTTTTTTATCATCATGTACCTTAGTTCACGTAGCTTTTTTTAAAAAAAAGCTTAAGATTTACTGACAAGTTCTAAGTAACAGATGTTTTCACCAGGCATTTCAAAGTCTAGAAGTGAAGTTCATTATAGTTCATTTAATCCAGATTTGCATCCCTTGAAGAGTCTAAAAAAACAGGCTACAATGTAAAAAGTTGCAGTACAAGAGGAGAGCTATTCCAGTAAGAGTTTCTGAACAGAATTTGGGACCATCTCCCATCCCGTCCCATCCCCCTCCCCCCCCCAGCTATTCACATTTAAGTTTTACCTCTTTCCATGTTTACATATATTTTGAATAAACAGCTAAAAAGTTGTTGCTCTGTTTTGGCTCAGTGGATCTTCAATGCAGATATTCAAGTATTAAGAAAATGCAGCTGAACAAGGATATGTGTCCTTATAGTACAGTTTACAGAGAAGCATAATATTCACTAGTCTGCAGTATATTCTACCCCAAATCCCCGAAGAAAACTTTTTAACTTTGGGATCTGTAGCCTGCTTCCAGAGCTGTTGAAGATCATCTACGTGTCCATGAGATGTCATCATTTTGTTATAAATGCAGGGATGATATGGAGCTTTTCCTTCCCCAGAAAAAAATACATGATATTGTGGTACAATTCCCATTTTATTGGCACAGAGACCCATGAAAACATCATCTATATAAAGACTTGTATTTAGAGTCAGTGAAGCCTCATATACTTTAGCTGCTACATCATTTGATATTACATATGCAGCTCCTGCTGTGTAGTCAGGATAAGAGGGCCACTGGTACATTTCATATGGAACATAGTATTTGCTACTCCTGTCTCTTATGGGAGGGGATCCACGATGGACACGACCAATCCAGAGATCTTGAACACCCATTTGTGCTAGACTTTGGAGATAAGCAACAAGATTTGGCATATGGATAAATATATCGTCATCTGCAGACATAATAAACCTGGCATGAGGACAGTAGGCATTCACCCAGCTAAACTGCAAAAGCAATTTAAGAGTAAGATTGTGAAAAGTATCCAAGAAGTCTTGCTGAATCAAATCATTGTATTTCCGGTCTTCCAGCTGAAGTTCTCTCTGCAGCCGTGTTTGCTGCAGATGATCTGTTGGTCGTCCTAAAGCAA